CGGCAGCTGCGCGGCGGGGGCGGCGGCGGCGGCGGGACGCGCGCCCCGGGCCCGGCAAGCGCGGCTCGGTTCAGCACCGCGCCACGGGGGCGGCCATCTTGCCCGGCCCACAATGCCCCGCGCTACGGGCCGCCGCGAGGGACACGGCGGGCCCCGGGGCCGCCGCGTTGCCATGGGGACCGCGCGTTGCTATGGGGACCGCGCGGGACCACAGAATCCCAGGATCACTGAGGTTGGAAAAGACCTCCGGGATCATGGAGTCCAACCTGTGCCCCGATCCCCACCTTGTCACCCAGCCCAGAGCACTGAGTGTGTTCCTTGGACACCTCGAGGGATGGGGACTCCACCACCTCCCTGGGCAGCCCCTTCCAGTGCCTGATAACCATTTCCATGAAGAAATTCCTCCTGATGTCCAACATGAGCCTTCCCTGGCACAGTTAGGGGCCGTTCCCTCTCCTCCTGTCCCTTGTTCCCTGGGAGTAGAACTGGACCTCCCCTTGCTCCCCCTCCTGTCAGGGGGTTGCAGAGCCAGAAGGTCCCCCCTGAGCCTCCTTTTCTCCAGGCTGAGCCCCCCCAGCTCCCTCAGCTGCTCCTGCTGCTCCAGCCCCTTCCCAGCTCCCTTCCCTTCCCTGGACATGCTTCAGCCCCTCAATGTCCTTCTTGTCATGAGGGGCCCAGAACTGGACACAGCACTCAAGGGGCCACAGCAGTGCTGGCACAGATGGACAGTCACTGCCCTGCTCCTGTGGCCACACTATGGCTGGTACAGCCCAGGTGCCATCGCCTTCTTGCCCACCTGGGCTCAACTTGACCCTGGGGTCAAGTTCATTGATACCTTCAGAATGTCAAAAAATGAATACACAAAAAAAAAATCAACACAACTTGGGTTTCCATCCCTTGGGGCAGCACAGGACTGACAGCACCTCACACCCATCCACCTGGACCAACTGCCCTACAGTTACAGTTCTGATGGGCTTCACCTTAAATCAAGATAAAAATCAATCCCTGATGCCAAGCTGCTGACTCAGAGCAGTGGGACTCTTGCACTGGTGTGTCCTGGTGTCCCCAAGCACACCCAGGCACAGGTACCAGTCCAACAATGCCCATTCTTGGACCTCACTTCGCTTTGGGTTGTGTGGTCATTTCTACTGGGACAAAAAAACAGGACAGTGGTGAAACTGGGCAACAGCCCCCAGCAGAGCTCTGCCTGATTCATGTGCACTCCCTATAGGAGGAAAGGCGGGTGCAGTATTTTAGGGAGAGATCCTCCTTGCTATCAGACTGAAGATTAATGAATATCAAATATTGCTGTTAATGAAGTTCCTCAGTGTTTGCTCCCAGCAGTAATCGAGCCCCACTACATTCACATCTGCAATATTTGAATGTGTAAAAATGATTTCAAAGTAGAAATCAAAGAATACATGTGTAATTTGATTTACAGAACCATTAATCTTCATTAATGCTTTCCTTGTGTTTACGCTCGTGGAATATTTTAAATGCAAAGACCTTTCTTTACAGTATATTGGAATATAAAGTTTCTTTGGGAGGCCAACGTTTGCTTTTGCTCTTGCTCCTTCCCTTTCCTGATGGAGCTGATTCATTGCTCACGGTGCTTTGTGCTGATGACTGATCATAACTGCATGATTGTTATCGGGATGAATTGCCAGGGTGTGGAAAATGCTTATGGTTGTGTTTCTGCTAACCTTTAATGAATTCCTCAATGGCAGCTACACAAAAATCATAGAATCGTGGAATCCTGGAGTGCTTTGGGTGGGGAGGGACCTTAAAGATCGTCCAGCTCCAGCACTCTGCCATGGAAGGGTTGGAATAACAAGCCCAACACGCCACCTGAAAAAATCCCAGGCTCTGAAGCAGCCCGGGCAGCTAATCCAGGGCCACGGGGCTGCACAGATGGACCCTAATCCCGGCTCCCGGCAGCTTTAGGGAGCGTGTGCCAGGCCCGGCGCCTGCCCTGCCCGAACGTGCTGCTGGGCAGCCTCGGAGCTGCCGCCAGAAATCCCTGTGAAGGACACAGCTGGCAGCAGGCACAGCTCACATCTGCCCCGCTCCCTGCACGGCCTGGAGGTGATTAGTTCAGACAAGGACTGCTTTCAGTCACCCAGGCAAAGTCCACAGCCTGTGCTGGAACAGCCGTGTTCCCTCGTCCCTGTGCACCCACGTCCTTCCCTGTCACTGCAGGGACTCCTCTGAACAGCCACCCTGCTCCCCTGAGGCTCCCGACCTTCATCCCACCCACACCAGCATCACTGCTGGGTTCCACCTGACCAGGGCTCTGGGGGGAGTGGGGTGGGGAAGTGGACATGGAAGACTTGGCCGAGCAGAGCCAAAGTGATTCCTTGCCTGTGAGGATGGGAACCATGAGCAGACTTCCCCCTCAGCTCTGAGTGCCTCAGCCCTGCCCTGCCATGCTCCCATGAGCTCAGATGTGCTTCCCAGGAGGATCTCAGTCTAGACCTGCAGCTCTCCACTGTTCCTGCTGTGATCCACCTTCTCCTGTTTAATTGCATCCTTTCTCAGCCCTGCTGGCCAGGATTCCCTGCTGCCAGCTGCTCCATACCAAAGGCAGCATGTGGTCCCTGCTGCTGCCATCAGGACCCCAATTTCCATGCAAAGTCAACCCTCTGGCCCCAGATTCTGGGCAGAATAACATATTAAATTGATCCCCAGTTCCTAGGGAATGCAGGGAGTGGAAACACCGTGTCAGGTAAGGCACAGTAAGTGATGCCTTAAACCCAAAATGCAGAAGCATTATCTTCCAAAACCACACTTGGACACATTCTCCCTCCTGTCACTCTTTTTAATGAAAAATCCTCCTATCTCAGGCTCTGCCAATGTCCTTTGTTTTGTCTTATTCAGCCACCTAATTCTAATTCCACTTTTGGGCAGGAAGAAACAAAGATATGGAAAGGAGAATGTTACTCATAAATATCAAGAGATCTTATCTCTCAGTTTCATTAGGCAAATTCATGGCCACCAAATGAATCAAAGTCAGATGCCACGGTCTGTGCCCTGAGCCAAAGGACCACCTTTTCCCAGGCTTTAGGGGCAGGTGTTTGCTTCCCTGCATGTGCAGGTGACCACATTCCCTCCCCACATGCAGCCTCAGCCCAGTACTGTTTGCACAGCCACGGCTTTGGTTGTTTTAGGCATTTAGGGGTCCCAACAACAAGGTTGGTTTTAACATTTCAGTGAGGGGAGCTTTATAGCCTAAAGACAGTAGGTAAAATATTTATTAGGAAGAATATCTATTTTTAAGTAAGTCTGATTTCAGTTCTATTATTTATGCATGTGCAGCACACAGACTTCCTTCCACACGGTAAATGTGAATCAAAGACTTGGGGCCGGGAACTGGAGCCTGGGGAGGGCGGGATCGGGAGGCAGGTGAGAAGGGGGCGGGTGGTGTTATGTGCCAAACCCAATACAAATCAAAACATGATTCATAAAATTGACTCTTCATCTCGTAAACGAATCCCAGTGACCTCCTCTGCGAGACAGAACAGACGCGTCTATTCCTGGCGCCGCCGCGCTCTTCCCAACTCGCTTCCTCTAAATCCGGGTGGGCGGGGAAGCGTGTGCTCACACGGGCACTGCCCTGGCTCCGGGAGAAGCAGCACTTGGAGCATTAAACCTGCCAGGTGGGGCTTAACGGGACACCCTCCTGTCCACCTGCCAGGGGCACTCCCGGGTAAGGTGAGCAACTCCTGCTGCAACTCCGGCTTTCCAGAAATTGTCCCCAATATCCAACCTAAACCTCCCCTGGCACAACTCGAGGCCATTTCCTCTCATCCTGTTCCTTGTTCCCTGGGAGTAGAGCCCGACTCCCGCCTGGCTCCACCCTCCTGTCAGAAGCTGAGAGAGAGAGAGAGAGAAGGTTCCCCCCGAGCCTCCTTTTCTCACGCCGGTTGTTCTGCAGTGCCCCAGCCCCCGATGTGATGGGATGTGCTGTTATGAGCGCAGTCAAGCTGCCTTAAAAATATGAGAGACATAAAATGGGTGCAAAGCAGCGTCTTCATCAGCAGCATTCATTGGGAATATGATAGGGATTCGCTTTCTCTTCTCACGTTGAAAAGGCCAGAATAAATACTGGGTCAAAAATGTCTCCTCACCCTTTTAGTGGAAAAAATACTTTGGCCGGAGGGGAAATTTTTCACCAAGTAAGAAGACACAGGGAGCAAGAAGAGGTGATACAGCCACTGGAAGTGGAAAATTTGGGAGTTCTCTTTTCTCTTTGCCTCCACTGAACTAAAAAAGGGCTACTTGATGAATCAGTAGCTGTAGAGTTTAGTTAATGAGTGTATTTGACATCCTTGGACACCAGGCAGTGCACAAGTTAGAAGTCATTTAGACCGTGAAGCAACTGCCACGTTTCCCTCCAAAGGCAACTTCAGTTCACCACAAACGTAAAGATTTCTGTGTTCCTGCTGGCACAGGGGAGACTTAAATGACCCCTCTGAAGACTGACAAAAATTGGCTGCTTAATGGAGCTGTTTTTCTCATAAAGCCTGAGTGAGGCTGCACTCAATA